CAAAAATGGCCACAACACAATCCCTGAAGGTAAAGTTAGAGAGACACCATTAATGGAAAAGGTCTTGTAGAAACAATCTGTTCCACATGAGACTGTTCAGCTCCTCTGCCTCTGGTAACAAACGCTGTGATCAATGAGCTGATCAGAACCTGAACAGCCAGATGTACACTAGAGGAAACCTCATATACCTCACATCCCCCAGGCTGGAGGCATCAACACTGTTCCATCACAAGGCCACATGAGGCTAAACACACACACACTCACACACACACACACACATGCACCGCACACTTAATATATACAAGCATAAAAGTTAGTGAAAGGCTCAAATGCTAAACGTTGAAAGAAAATCTACAGCTGATTAATGTTAAAATCAACCAACATGGCCACCAATGGCCTCATACATATGAATGGCAGTACCTTGGTCGGTTTGATATTTTCAAATATTGGTGTGGTACAAACTAAAGGTCTCTGACTCTTAGTACCAAAAGATTAAGAGAAAACTTCCATCATCATGTCAGATTGTGTCTAAAGTTATTTGAAGATTTGACCAGGATGGCTACAGTTCTCTCAACATGAGATAATGTTAGTTTAAAGGTGTGGAACACTCATTTAATCAATACATGTACAATGGTCTCTAGGAGGACGGAACAGGACCAGTTTTGCTGACAGGCAACACAAGCAGCCGCCTGGGGTGCAATCTGCTAGATAGGGTGCAAATTGCAGAATAAAAAAATAACATTAATTAAATGTATGCATGTATTGTAGCGTCCGGCTGGATGTTGAGAGAGGGACAAGAGGGTTGCTAAAGCTGTCACTTTTTTGAATGAATGAATGAATGAATGAATGAATGAATGACTATTTACTGTATAGAGCCCATTTCCTGTACGACAACAACTCAATGTGCTTAACAGTAAAAGAGACTAAATAAAACAAACAATTGTAAAATATGTACACCCGTAAAAACGATTGGTGTTTACATATTAAAATACACACATGAGACTAAAACCTATACATTCAAACATGCACGCACACATACACACACGCACACAAACATTTATACACGCATTTGCACATACATCCATGCACAGCCATAAGACATAATTGTAAGAACTTATTTATGAATAAAACCATATCTATGAAATGAGGAAATAAATTAGAAATGAAACAACCTAGCCACATGTTTGTTCAAATAAAAAGGTTTTCAAATTTCTCCTAAAAATATTTGTTGTAGCTGCTTCCCTCTCTAAAGGCAGAGTATTCCAGATCTTAGGTGCATAGACGCTGAAGGCAGCCTCCCCTGACTCAGAACGTGTATGCGGTATCACCAGATTGCCCTGATCTGCAGACCGGAGTGGTCTGACCGGTGTATAAGGTACTAGCATATCTGTGATATATTGTGGTGCATGGCCATTGAGAGCTTTATATACAAGCAGTAGGATTTTAAAATCAATTTGTTTTTCAACTGGTAGCCAATGCACAGACAGTGGTAGACTTTCTCGCCTCTCTGTCTCTTAAATGTAAAAATGAAGCATGAAACTTGGGTGTATTTTTAGACAGTAGCCTGAATTTTTAAAACACATTAATCATACAACTAAAATAGCATTTTTTCATTTGCGTAACATTTCTAAAATCAAACATTTCGTCTCAAGAACTGACCTCGAAAAGCTACTCCATGCATTCATAACCAGCAGGCTCGATTATTGTAATGGTCTTTTAATTGCCCTTCCTCAGTACGCTATTTACAGACTGCAGCTGATTCAGAATGCGGCTGCTCGTGTTCTGACTGGTACAAAGAATTCTGAACACATTACTCCTGTTTTAAGATCTCTGCACTTGGACCAAATACCAGAATTTCTGTCTTGTCTTGATTTAATTGTAAGAAATTTTCAGACATCCAGGCATCCATATCCTTGACACATTGTATTAGAGAGTGAAGAGAGTGAGTTGAAGGGCTCATAAACTTTCTGTTGGCTGTAAGCAAACTTTTACAACAGAACAACTAAACGAGACAAACAAGCCGCACCTAACAAACTCTTTCACTTTCACTCAGAACCAACACACACACACACACACACACACACACACTCTCTCTCTTTCTCTCTCTCTCTCTTTGCCTCGCCCCTTTCCTCAACCTCCAATCACATACACAAAATGCCCTTTTACAGTCAGCTAATACACAGACAGAGGGAAAAAGTGCAACATTTTTAAACATGAACCTTTCTGCAGGGTTGCTACAGTGTTATGACATTAATGCGAAGGTTTGCCAAGGGTTGCGAATAACTGCGGTCACCAATTCTTGCCATGTGTCTATGTATGTATGTCTGATCTCAGAAATGTGTTTTCTGAAACTCTGAGTACCCTCTGGGATTAATAAAGTATTTTTGAATTTGAATTGAATGCCACACACACACTAGCATCCACTCCGCTACGCCCCGCACCAGCCTGGCCTCGTTTGTTCCACTCTGCCTTACGCCTGGAACACACCAGACGCGGAAGTGCGACTATGAGATGCAAAGCGCCGTGGAACGACGAGCATTTCTAATTGGTCCCTTGTTAACCTACGCTCTCGGTCACATCAGCCGTGAAGCACCACGAAGGCTTGCGCAGTGATCGTTTCGGCGAGAGCTCTATTTTTTCGTGAGCTGTGAGTGAGCCGCGCCAATTCTCAAACCAAAGCAGAAGAAGCAAGCTGGTAAATTTAAGAAAATAAAAGAAAATTTTCTAAATAAAACACAGTGATTGATAAATGTGATCATTTTTGTGTATCTACACAGACTAGAGAGATGAAAATGAACAAACACACACACACACACACACACACACACACTGCTGCAGAGAAACTGTGTTTCCATAATTTTAAATGTAGTTTTTACATCAAAGATGGATTTAATAAATGTGAATACAAACAAATACACAGCAGCAGGATCAGCACAGTTTCCGATATCAAGTGGGGCAAACTGGTTACACGCACATGCACACACACACACACACACACACACACACACACACACACACACACACACACACACACACACACACAGCAAGGCATGGACGTAATTTTAACTTTAGAAGTGGGGGGGCATGGGGGGTGGGGTATCTTTACAGTATGCTCTAATGGGAAACAGGCTTCAACACAAATGGTTGTTTTCTGCTTGGTCCTAGAGCTCAACCAGTGTCAATTTAATATAGCGTAACATTGTTTTTGGATGGTAAAAAGTGCAGGGCTCAAAACTTGACTTTGGAAAAAGTGGGGACCCCCCCCCCCCCCCCCCCCCCCCAAATTACGTCCATGCAGCAAGGGCATGGGGGTGGAGGGGATTGTAGGCGTGAGCAGAAGGGCTCGTTGAGACTTCTCGCCTGATTTCTTCTACTAGAATGTTTTACCTTTTTTTGTCATTTGTAATTTGAACTGCTTTTATTTTCGATTTATTCACCATATTTAACTTTGTCATGTACTATATTCAGCGCCTTGCGCTACCCGACAGGGTTGCGGAAGGCGCTACATAAATAAAGCTTTGATTGATTGATTGATTGATTGATTGATGTGAACAGAGGAGGAGCGGACAGTGCATACATTTTGTGAGCGATCCACTTCGCCATCACAGCTCACCACCTGAAAAGCCTCCCTCCCGGCAGGAGGTGGTGAGCTGTGATGGCGATCCGAACCCAGCCAGCCAATGACATGACAGTAATAAGTGGGTTGACGCTCTGAGGAAGACGGAAATTAATGCAGTTGAAACTGTCGGCAAGTATAACATCTCAACAACCACATTTATCTTACTGAATAAAAAAAAAACGCATTACAAAACAACAACAAAAAAAGATTTAATGAGTTAATCACACTGTACCCTACCATTACAGCCCCTATTTGCAGTGCAGGTTATGACCTAAACGGATCATTGTTAGAGAAAACATTTTGGAGGTCACTACACAAGTGAGAACTATATACATCACATTATGTTATCAGCCTGATTCTGGATTGAGCTCAGCAACTGCTTGCCCAGGTTTTCATCAAGGGGCCGTTTTCATAATTCACCAAAAGACAGGCGACAGCAAACAGTTGGTTAATGCTGCCTGTGATTGAAAGGGGGTGACTGTGCTGATTATTTTGTGTTCTTTGACCCTGTGAATCACACGCTCAACATGGACTCTCAACCTCGCATCAAACTGTCTTTCTGATCTCTGGCCTAGACAGTTGAGCTCTCTGTGACAGAAACATGGGCATGTGGACTTTGCATGGAACTCAGTCTTCAACAAGGAGACCCTTGTCCACCATGATGGCCATTGATGGGTTAAGGAGGGTCACAATCCCTGACTGCTTTAAGATCTCTTTATCACAGGTGGCACCTTAATAAAGAGATGGCACAAATGTCATTGCACCATGAGGGGCTATCCCAATCAACCCTTTGAATGTACAGTGTGATTTATAGTTTGAAAACACCTCGCTCTGTAAGAGGAGGGAATTTGGGGTTTGGCAGTTCTGTGCAATCTAAAATGACCCGAGTGTCAGCGTAACCCTGGAACACATCTGGAGGGAGAGCTTTCACAGAGTCTCCATCTAACCAAATACCCATCGCTCCTAACGCAATATAAAGGAAGTTGTCCCAGGTGTTAACAATATGACTAACAGTTGACCGATGGATTCTAAATCTGTGGGCCAAATCCTTTTGTGTGAGTCCCAGTGACAGGTAGATCACAAACAGGAAGAACTCATCAACTGGTTGAAGAACCTGGAAATGATGAAAACCATTATTACCATCCATCCATTTTCAGCCGCTTAGCCGGGGTCGGGTTGCAGGGGCAGAAACCTGAGCAGAGAGGTCCAGACTTCCCTCTCCCCATCTACTTGGACCAGCTCCTCTTGGGGAATCCCAAGGTGTTCCCTGGCCAGCTGAGAGACATAGTCCCTCCAGCGTGTCCCGGGTCTTACCTTACATTATGACTATCAAAATGTATTTGATTAATGGATTAATTTGAAAATGATGACAAGCACTTACCGTTGCACTGGCAGAGTGGGGGACCTGATCAGGCTTCGCTACACTCGATGCTCTTGTAACCCATATCATAACGAGGGTGGCTGGCTCAATTTGCTTCTAGAAGCCCATCAGGTGAGCGTGACTTGCGAATCTGTGGAACATATGAGTTAGATAGATTAAAGATCATCACTCGGATCACGTCTAATGACCCAAAGAAGCTTTGCATAACTAGAAACACTCAACATTGAACTGCAAATATGTAGTAATACGATCTTCATTGTTATATCAGTTATACAACTCTGGGCCATTTAAGAGCTATGACCAGTACCTGGACCACACACAAACAACTTCACCCAGAATGAAGCTGAAGTTTGTTCTCATCTAGGGTTCCTGTTTAGGAAGTAACAATTCCAACCACAATTTCCACTCGCTGAGCATCTTTAATCTGCTCACATTATAAACATACAACACAGAGGATATGATAAGAGCAGAAGGCAAACCAGGATTGAAAACCAACTTCAGCTTCATTCACCCAAAGAACTTTTTTTGTACATTGTAGCCCTGCTGCTCTTTGGGTCTAACTCATACACGGTGATTATTTTTATGTACATGGTAAATAATTGCATGTCCTGATCAGAGGCAGAAAACCACTCCAAACAGAACTTTAATTCTTCTGTTTGTTTTCGGAGCCTTGATATCTCCTCACGCAGCTCATCATTTTAACGTTTATGTATTTAGCAGACGCTTTTGTCCAAAGCGACTTACAAGTGACGTAATTGAGGGACAGATCAAGGGCAGCGGGCTCATTGCTGGATTTCATTTCCTTTCATTTATTTATCAGATCCCCATTAGCTGCTGCTTCGTTCAGCAACTATTCTTCCTGGGGTCCAACATCACAATACAGCAACCGACATTTACAATAAAACACACTCAAACATTCTCACATCACAAAAACAAAATCTCAAAAAAAAAAAAAAAAAAAAAAAATCTGCTCAAACTACACAATAACTTCAAACCATGGCAAAAGCTGCATCAGCCATTTAGCACATCTCCTTCACATGTTCGATCACAATTCCCATAACTAATTCCAAGGCTCTTCTTAGGATAAACGTTTTACTGCTCTATCAACAAAAATATATTTAACTTCTTTTTGTAAGTAATTAAATTATCCTCCAATACTAGAACGTTAGGTAACGTGTTCCAAGCCACCATTGCTCTGTTACTCACAGTTTTTTGCTTTAAAGTTGTTCGACACCTCGGTAACACAAACCGATAGAGTGACGTTCGCCTAGTGGAATGATGATGTATATATGAGAAGAATAGAAATTTTCTGTAAAATAACTCTGGTACTTTGGTCATCACTACTCTCTTAACAAAACACAAATGTGAATACTTCTTTCTATTTTCCACATACAACCATGATGGGCGAGAATTCACTACACTTATACCAGTGCTATATGAACACTGCAAAGTCAGACGAGCCGCTTTATTCTGAGCTACCTGTAATCTGGCCAAGTTACCCATCGATGTACTCGAGCAGTAATCATGTTGATGACACAGCGATGGGTCATCCTCAGGGTCAGTCTGCATCTCCCTTGGATCGGTGTTGGGCGGACGCTCTGTTCTTTCCCACACTCCAGATCGTGGGGTCGGGATATTATAGCTATTCCACTCAAAAGCATAGGAACAGCTCCGGGTCTCGGTCGTCGTCGTCCAGCAGTATAATAAACCTAAATGTCTATAAACATTAATGTATTTTGTCAGAACAGAGCCAACAGAGGGGGTGGTGTAGCTCTGTATGTTAAAGACCACCTGCATTGTACTATTGCCCTTTGTAAGTCAGTCCCTAAGCAATTTGAATTATTGGTGTTAAAACAAACTCTCCACAAAATTTTCTCTTACTGTAGCTGTTTGTTATAGAACTCCATCTTCTCCCGCCTCCCGACTAATAGACCTTAGTGAACTCCTAGTACCACCTCTGAGTTTGTCCTTCTGGGTGATCTAAACTGGGATTTGATTACCCCCCCCCCCCCCCCCCCCCCCCGGCTCAGTTTTGCAGCAATTTGATGCTTTAAATCTCTCTCCAATTATGTCTGAACCCACCAGACTCAATTCTAAATCTCCAACATCCTCGATGCCGATTGACCTTATTCTCACTAACAGTCCTAACTATCGGTCTGCTGGAGTCTTCAGTTAAATAAGTGACCGTTGCTCTATAGCATGTATTCGCTCCAACTGCTCAGTTAAATGGCCACCAGTGATTGTGACCAATCTGACTCTGACTCAGGAACCTGGACATGCAGGTTTTCCTTCAAGATCTTGCATCCGTGAATTGAAGCAAAATCAACTCTAGCTCCTCCTTAGATGATGCCTGGTCCATTTTAAAGAATACTTTCTGCCAGATCAGTGCTGCTCTGAAAAAATTTAGGACTAAGAATTGCTACAGTCCTTGGTTCTCCCATTAACTATCGGGACTTATCCACCAAAAGAACATCCTTTGGGAAAAAGCTTGTTCCTCTCAGTGTCTTTAAGATTGGCTTGCCTTCAGACAATGCAGAAATCAAACCACACAGGCGATCAGAATTGCCAAAATGTCCCACTATAAGGAGAAACTCTCCACCTGTGGCACTGATAGAAGAAAGTTTTGGAAAACAGTTAAATCCATGGAAAATAAACTGACTTCTCCCCATCTGCCACTACCTATGGTAGTCAATGATATTGTTATTTCTGATAAATCTCATATAGCTTCACTTCTCTACCATCACTTTGTCAACTCAACCAAAGTTCCCACCATTCCAAACCCTGTTACAACCTCACCTGTTATTCAACCTTCTTCGTCCAGCAGTACTGGTCTCTTCCTCAAATCTCTCTCTCTCTCTCTCTCTCTCTCTCTCTCTCTCTCTCTCTCTCTCTCTCTCTCTCTCTCTCTCTCTCTCTCTCTCTCTCTCTCTTTCTCTCTCTCTCTCTCTCTCTCTCTCTCTCTCTCTCTCTCTCTCTCTCAGAAGTGCAGGATGAACTCACCAAGCTGGAACCAAACAAATCTGCTGGCTTTGATGGAATAGATCCTATGTTCATAAAAGCATCTGCTCATATTAGCACTGCTCCCATTACAAGAATTTTTAATCTGTCTCTACAGTTCTCTATTCTACCTACAGGTTTCAAATCAGCCGTGATTGTTCCTCACTTCAAAGGTGGGTCTGACTCTGACCCTAATTGCTGTCGACCCAACTCCATATTGCCATGTTTAGCCAAAGTCCTAGAGAAGTTAGTTCTCAAACAGTTGAACCACTACCTTGTCTTTTTCAGACTTGCAATCTGGTTTCCAGACTGGACATTGGTGCATGATGGCCACCATGAAAGTTCATGATGATATTATCACAGCATTAGACAGTAAGAAGGTCTGCACAGCTGCCTTTATTGATCTGGCTAAGGCCTGTAACTCAGTAAACCAAAGTATCCTGTTACACAGCTGAGGACTGAAAACATCTCATTAGAACCACTTACTATTTCTTGAGGTGTGCCTCAGGGCTCCATCTTGGGCCCAACTTTATTTTCTATCTACATCAATGATGTTCCTAAAACTGCTGGTAGTTCTCAGATCCACCTGTATGCTGATGACACCATTCTGTACTCAGTTGGTCCTTCTCTCAACTCTGCAGCATCTACTCTTCAGCTCAGCCTCACCTCTGTTGAACAGTCCTTTCACAACCTCCATCTCTGCTTTAATGGCATGAAGACCAAATACATCATCTCTGATAGGAAAAACCAAACATCCAATCCCCCAAAGATCTGCTGTGCTGATGGCTCTGCCCTGGATTACGTTACAACCTTCAAATGTCTGAGCATCTGGCTGGATTCATCTTTATCTTTCACCACACATATCAACAGTCTGCAACCAAAAGTCAAAGCAAGATTAGCTTTTCTTTTTTGTAACAAAGTCTCCTTCATGCATGCTGCCAAACACATCTTTGTTAAAATGACAACACTACCAATTCTGGATAATGGTGACATCATCCACAAAATACCTTCATGCTCTGACCTAGAGAAACTGGACATTCTTCATCACTCCGCCATCTGTTTTGTTACTAATGCTCCCTTCCACACTAACCACCAAATTTTAGATTCCATGCTCTTGTTTCTGAGAAGCCAGGCGTGCACACTTTTAGAGTCTTGGTTCTGACAAACCCAGTCAGCTTGCTCTTTTCCACAGAACTGGGTGCAAGAGAGGGAGGGTCAGTAGGGTTGGAGGTCAGAGGTTTCCACACAGAGAGGAGCTTGGCCCAGACTCGAACTATGTTATCAGCGAGTCTGCCCCAAGTCTCCTCTCAATATGTCCCTGGGAACCACAGACCAGGCAGGGGGGCAATTTGGGGGAGGTACTGCACACTTCCCGGCCAGACACTCATCTGCTGGGTTCTCGGAGGTGGTACAGCTTTCACCCACACTGGCCCATTGGCGCCTGAAACAAGAAAACTTGGTAGTTCTGGGAGGGGTTCATTGAGGTCAACCACAAGTGCTGATCTTGGTTCTGGTACTGGTACTGGTACCGGCACTGGCACTGGCTCCGGCACCGGTACTGGCTCCGGCTCGTTGCGTTCCTGTACATAGTTACCCTTGGAGGTAGAAATCCAACGCCACTCAGCTCCCCCTTGATGCTCCCTGAAATGAGAAAGTGGGCAGGGGAGTCTATTCGCTCCCTGAATTATTGGGTAAGAAACAGATTCGAAGTGCTTTATCAGCTCTGATCTGGTGATTCATCTGAGTATTTCCTCTTTAGTCTCAACCTTCGTTCCCTTGTGAACGTGCGTGATGGGGAATGTCTGTTCAGGAGCGTGGCTAGATGGGGGGAGCACCACCCTGGAAAAAATTAAAAACAAAGACGAGGATTCCATTCCACATTCCAGATACACAATATCACAATTTCTCTCAAACAATGTTCACAAATCAGTCTAAATGTGTGATTGTGAGCACCTGTGCTTTGCTGAGATAATCCATCCCACCTCACAGGTGTGCCACATCAAGATGCTGATCTGACATCGTGAGTAGTGCACAGGTGTCCTTGGACTTCCCGCAATTAAAGGCCACCCTGGAATGTGCAGTTTCTTTGCTTTATTGGGGGTCTGGGGACTCAGAAACGGTCAGTATCTGGTGTGACCACCATTTGCCTCACAACACATTTGCAACACATCTTCTTCGCATAGAGTTTATCAGATTGACACTCCATGTTGCCCTGTCACACCTGGAGAAGAGAGACACGTATGTGAGAATGCTGTTTGTCGATTACAGCTCAGCATTCAACACCATTGTTCCCTCAAAGCTGGACAGGAAACT